TTTTTTTTTGGCTTTTTTTTTTTTTTTTTTTTTTTTTTGCAATTGAAACAAATTATATCCCTTTAATGGATAATTTACATCGAAAACAAAACCGAACAAACACCAAAAGATCCAAAATTTTAATATTTTATAGGTGAAAAATTATATCAATCAAACACAATTAATTGACAATTTCCAGTAAAACAAGTTCTAGAAAATTCAATTCCTTGAAATTCATTTTATTTCCACCCAATTCCATTCTTGCGATCAAACGGACCCAATCGTATGGATGATTTTGTCACAATTGAGCCTTCCTTATGGCAAAAACGTAAAGAAATACTTGATCAAGTTAATAAAAGAAGGTATAGTTGATCTGTTGGATTAGTGAACTTTATTGAAAATAAATTTGTCAAACTTTGTGAAATTTAAAATATTGACGATAATTCATTTGTGAATTGACGAAAAGAATTATGATTGTGGTTCATTACAAATGGGTTTTGCTATATGTACACCTGGTTTACAGTCCTTCTCACAATTTTTTTTATTGGACGTGGGCCTCCCTTTTTTGTGGCGGGTGTAACTCCGATGTACAAATAGCAAAACTCATTACAATTTACAAATTACCTCGTCAGCCACTCTTCGTAGATGCATGTCACAAAATTATTACTGAATATAAGGGTTGGTTGGGGCGATCAAGACTAAGGTGAGAGGAGTGTCCATTTTGATGATGGATAAGTAGCCCTCATTTGACAACCATTATTTGAAATTTTTTTTTTAACACTTTTTTTCAACAATGCATTCACACGATAATATATTTTGCACGTAAACTTAAAAATAAATTCTACTTTTTAACTACATGTTCTCCTAAAACTCACTATTCAAAATATTTTTTTTTCTAAATAATGATTATAAAACAAGGGCTTAAAAGATTACTTGATTTAATTTTCGTGTACTTCAGAATATATTTGAACTTTCATTTCATATGCATATCACGTTTTTGCATAATAGTCAGTGGCGAATCTAGGATTGGAGGTCAATTAGGGCTGACATTAACTATTGACCATTGATCGTCGACAATCAACTGCTGTAATAGCGAGATTGTTTATGAATATTTAATTAAATAGTATTAAAAATTGTTTTGTTGAAAAAATCATTCGGTTGAAAATTAGCTAGAACTGGAAGAATTAGGTACAGACTTTCTTTTCTATTGAAAAAAATCGTTCCATAATTTATAAATTGCCCCAATTTATTTTTCAATTAAAATTTATTTGTCATTTATCCTAAACATAAATTTCCAAATCACAAATTATAACTCATAAAACATAAATTATTAATCACAAATCACAATCATAACTCGTAAAACATAAGTCATAACTTAAAAATGATAAACTGAATTAAAAGACAAACAAAAACAAAAAAATAAATAAAAATAAAGGCGGACTTAGACAGCCACTAGGTTCACAGCAGCAATAGGAGAGGGGAAGGGAGGCGACTCGCCATCGCCGACAGCAGCCGTAGGGTAGGTCTGATTGCTCAGGGGCTGAGCTCACATTTTGTAGGACAGCCAACGGGAGGAAGGGTTTGAGATTTGGAAATTAGAATTGGCTGCTCAAGGTTGATTTGCACAAATTCATGTCCAACAGTGTCCATAAAATCACTGGATTGGTTTGATTTTGGGCCTATTTTTTTTAACAACAAGAAGCACAAAAAAGGCCCAAAACTTTTTTTTTTTAAAGTGCAATTTTTAGTAACCTGGGTCGTCCCTTTCCTCTCAACTGAAACGCCGCTGTAGCCTCCCAGTCTGGCTGGCTCTTGATCCCGGCGGCTACTGTAAATTCAGGTGGAGCCAACACAGGCGGCCGCATCCCCTTGTCAGGTGCTGGCTCCACCACTGAAAACAGTAATGAAAATCCATGAGAATGACTAGGAATATTGTATGTCCCAATTGCCATTTAGCTAATAAGCCAACTGATAGAGGCTTCACATGTAGTACTTCCCGATATTGTGTTTGAGAACTGTTCAAATTCCTAATGATAAATAGCTTAGAAATGGGTTTTGAAACGGAAGGTATCTACCCAGTTTTACTTGTAAATTTGATCTTTCGTGTACAATTGTCCTTATTTTTCCCATATTCCTTATTTTGCCGGCAACTTTTGCAAACAATTGTCAGAACGTAACCTTGCTACCATTACAGAACAGGCCCCTGCCATGCTACACACATGGGGGTGGGAGCCACATTTTTTTAATACAATGGGTGGGGCCCGCCGCTACAGTGAGGGGCCTGTCCCCCTGTGTCACGGGCTGCAGCTTTACCTAAGCCCCGTAATCATATCGCAACCGCAGTTTGCCCAACTTCGGCTGTACATTGTAAATATTTCATTTAATTGTAAAATAGTTGGAAATTAGAAAAGTTTAGTATGATTCCTCAACTTTTTAACGTCTACTTCCATCAGATGGATTTTTGTTGCTAAGTCTATTATAGGGGGTATTAGTCTTTCAAACATCTTTCAAGCTTTTTAGTGTTCGCCCCCTGCACTAGCCATTGTAATTTCCTGCTTTCAATCAATTGTAATTTCAAGCTTTCTAGTAATCTGTGATCAAGTTTAATTCTATGCATTT